ATTGTATATATGTTTGATGAAACCACTTTCACAACTAAAATTGTTATGTTTCACTTCTAAAGACTTATCTGGTAGCAGTGGTTGTTGCCTAGTAATGGTATCATTGGCTAGGTGTGTTGCTTTTAAGCTGATGGTATCCTATTGGTTATCACCTGAGACTGGCATCTTTCTGTAATAGGCAGAGTTCTTATACATTAATGTTAAAGATGCAGTACTGTAATTCTATTGGATGGTGGTGAGAGTTTCCATGGTTAACCCCCAATGCTACATGATGCAGAATATATTAGCATAACACAGTAAAAAAAAAGTCAGGATTGGATTGCTGGAAGTAGCAGTTTGCATGATCAACAGGAGAGCTTGGCATTTAGTGCTTTTTGTGTGTAGGTATGGAAAAATGATGGGAAGGTACAAAACAAAAATTAAATATATACAATATAGTAATAGCATGCCTTTGTGCATATTATAACTAACTATAGCTCATTTTTTTCCCAGCTGAAAAAAGATGCCTCGCCCCCTCAAAATTTACAGCCGATTGGATGTGTCAAACCTGTCCGATTTTGTCCTGAAGTACTGTAATGATATATTTCTAAATTAATTTATTCATAATCGTTGGGATGACCGTTTCTGGCAAAAGATATTTAGCTAAATTATATAAAGATACTTACATTCATTATTTCAAACATAAGCACGTAGGAAGTTTATCAGAAGTATTATACATGAATTAACTGTTAAACTCTGGTAGCAAATTTACGCTTTCGGAGGATGCATTTAATATATACTTATTTTTGCCCACAATAAGGCATACTAAGACAAATTACGGATCAGTAATCAGTAATACAACATTATGCAAAAACAACATTTTTAAAGATCAGAATCGCATTGAAATATTACACGAACGTCAGCAGAAGCGGGAAAAATATGACTGCGAACAACTTCATATTTTTCCCGCCTCTGCTAACGGTTGTGTAATATTTCAATGTGATTCTGATCTTTAAAAATGTTGTTTTTGCATAATGTAGTACAGTGACCCCTCGGTTAACGAACTCAATCCGTTCCAGAAGGTCGTTCGTTAACCGAAAAGTTCGTTAACCGAAACCATTGTTTCAATGGGTTTTTGGGTAATTGGTTCCAGCTCACCGAAAATTTCCTAAATTCAAAAAAAATGGTAGAAAAGTTCACTTACTTTGAGGTGTGTATGTAGAAGGCTCCTGGATGATGATGATGGGAATTACAATGGGGGTGGAAGAGAAGGCATTGGGGTGGAAGAGAAGTCACCCCATGGCACCATTTCACCCATAAAATTTTAGTTCTCTTGGTGAATTTCAAGATTATTTTCTTTAAATCAACACTGTACTGCATTATATATTGTCAATATGTAAAATATATTTCAAAATGACCAATAATTTGCTTGGAAACACAGAAAAAAAGCGTTTAGTTGAAGAGAGTCTCAAGCAAGATGTTACCTCCAGTGAAAACAGAGAGACTAACGCCTGTTTGCTGTGTTAAGAGGCTGGATGCTGCGCTTTAAACTAGTCACTTTACCTTCAATTATATTCAATAATTGTTAAAATGACTAAAAATTGAATATTAAACTTTTAAAATTATTGAATAGTATAAACTTCTTGATATTTACTAAAATAGTTAGGAATTTAAGCCCTAGAACCGATTAATGTATTGGCGGACTGATACTAAAGCTGGTTGCCCGGCCAGTGCAAGCGAAAACATGTTGAGGTCGGTTCGTAAGAAATTCGTTAACCGAATTGAAGATCCTTATGGAAGGCAGTTCGTTAACCGAGGCGTTCGTTAAACGAGGGGTCACTGTATTACTGATCCGTAATTTGTCTTAGTATGCCTTATTGTGGGCAAAAATAAGTACCGTATACTGTACCTGTATATTAAATGCATTCTCCGAAAGCGTAAATTTGCTACCGGAGTTTAACAGTTAATTCATGTATAATACTTCTGATAAACTTCCTACGTGCTTGTGTTTGAAATAATGAATGTATGTATCTTTATATAATTTAGCTAAATATCTTTTGTCAGAAACGGTCATCCCAACGATTATGAATAAACTCGTTTAGAAAGACATCATTGCTTCAGGACAAAATCGGACAGGTTTGCTGTAACTCTTGGGGAGGGGACGGGGCATGTTTTTCAGCTGAGAAAAAACACACTATAGTACAGTTCAAGGATAAGTGAAGGAGAGACTGAACCTGAATATTGAGTAATACTAGCCAGCGGGAGCTTATAAGTCACGAAATAATTATAACACATTAAAGAGTGTGGTTAGAATGTTGAGTAGAGGTGTAATAATTTAATAAGTAAATGTTCCAGTGTGTGGATGCCACTGGTCGTGGCTGAGGATGCAGTGTACAGTACTGTACTGAACTTTAAAAGAATGTGGAATGACACTTGTAAGAAGAGGAAACTGGAAGTTCAGCGAAGATGGTGTTGCTTCTGGGAGTAGAAGGTTGAAGTGTAGATTAACCACTTGTGTATGGGGTCCCTTCTGAGCTGAATGAAAGCATAAGGCGTTAACCAAATAAAATATTAAAATGGCATCACCATAGTGAAGGGTAAAGAGTTAGATGGTAAGAAGTTTGAGAGTTTCAAATGTCATGGAGAACTAATGAAGGGAATAGCTAATGCTTGAGCCTTTAAGAAACTGGAATATTAGATGTGTAGTTTGGTTCTACACTCTGATGAATTTGAGTGAAATGTGGGCTTTCACCTTATTCACAGTTGATCTGCCGCAACACAAAACTTAAATGCTTGAGGAAACTTAATTGTTTCGTAATATGTACTATCCTCTTCGTCACTGAGTGTACTCAAGATTCAGAAAATTTTATTTACTTTTAAAATATGTTTGTTAGTTTAAAAATCATTGGAGGATGTTTTAAAATTCTGACACAACAGTCAGGTCTTCATTCATGTGTTAGCTTTTAGAACCTTTTAATTTTCTTGAGTGCTGCTTGTAAAGTAGAAGAAAAAAATTACTGACTTTTTCCAAAGAAAATTTGTTGACACTGCAACATCACATTAATTTCCTTATTGCTACACACTGAAGTCCACTCTCAGTGCAACATGTTTGAAAAGGTCCAGTTTTATAGAGAGCTTTTTGTTTTCAGTTTTACAGCGCAGTACAGTAATAAAAAAACATACCAACTTGAAACTAAACATTTCCTATTTATGGATTTTTATTCTTCTATCTACCTGGCATAGTGGTCTTCAGAAGTAACCGGTCGAGTCTTAGCAATGTCTCTGTATGTTGGGTGGCTCCCCTAACAGACAGACTTGACTTGGTTTTAATGTTTAATGCAGCCAGAGAACATTTATTGTAATTTGTAATTGTTAAAATTTTTTGCCATTGTAAAATGCTATATGATTCATTAATATATATATATATATATATATATATATATATATATATATATATATATATATATATATATATATATACTAGAAATCATTGATATGTTAATCAAAATGTTTTTTTTTTAACTCGAGTGGTGTCACTTGCTTGACTGTGTGTGCATGTTGGGTTGATGTGAATCTTCAATTTGAATTACTTTTTATCAATCTTAGTAGAGATATTAATAAGATTCTTTTTTCCTAGATAACTGGTCGGTGAAAGCTATTCGCAGGAAGACCACTGGTACTGGTCGCATGCGTCACCTTAAAATTGTGCACAGAAGATTCAGGTGCGTTGTGAAAATTTATTAACAGTTTAATTATATATATATATATATATATATATATATATATATATATATATATATATATATATATATATATATATATATATATTCATGTAAATCCACAATGAAAACGTGATAAGATAAATCTTGAGGCAACTGATTAATATACAGGGTGACCTTAAAAACATGAGGTCAGGTCATAATGATGTCATCCACTAATCCCCACACCAACACAACACGTAGAGGAGCTTAAGAGAAGGGGGGTGACGTGACTAGTCAGGTCAGGTCAAAAATAAGGGACCCACTAAATAACTATCATACATCTAGATCAAAGGTTTTCAAAGCATTTTTAACCTTGGGCCACTGACAAATAAATTTATGTAACGTATCAGTTTTGAACTGACCATCACTAAGGTTTATTGATTTTAATTCCTTAATCAAACTAGCTTCAACCAGAAGTCTTTCTGTGACACAAGATGGTTTAAATACTTCTAAGCTTTTTCCCAAGCAATGGGGTGATTATTATTCCTAACATGAACGAACAAGGCACTGCTTTCAGATGCTGTTCTGATATTATACTTATGTTGTTTGATTCTGCGCTGCAGTGTTTTTCCTGTCTGACCTACATAATTACAATTACATTTGCTACATGGAATACAATAAACACTTCCATTTACATTCAAACTTGGGCTATACCTTATTAACATATTGGTAATGGTTGAGTCATACTTGAAAACAACATTAATATTTAGAAGCTTGAGGGACCGAACTAACGGGACAAATTCATTACGATAGGGCAGAGTCAAAATATTATTTTTGACCTGACCTGACTAGTCACGTCACCCCCCTTCTCTTAAGCTCCTCTATGTGTGTGTTGGTGTGGGGATTAGTGGATGACATCATTATGACCTGGCCTCATGTTTTTAAGGTCACCCTGTATATTTAAGCCTCTCTCTGTCCATGTAATCCAGTTGCCTCTCAAGATGTCTTGAATAAAGACGAAAGCTAAGGTGCTCCGTTGTTTCCATTTTCCTTTGCGATTTTATCTATATATATATATATATATATATATATATATATATATATATATATATATATACTGTATTAATTTCTTTATTATCGGTATTAATAAAATGATTGTTGTTATTAATTAAGGTCTCGTTGTTACAGGAATGGTTTCCGTGAAGGCACCAAGGCAAGGCCCAAGAAAGCTTCTGCTCAGTAATTGTAAACCTGAATAAAGAAAAAATATTATCTTCCCCTTTTATTAACCCATTAGTTTTAGTCATGACAATAAAAAGTATGAATGATGATGCACCTGGATCAAGAATTAAGCATTTACTACTGAACCCCCTTTTCATAAGCACAAGTGTAAGTTTATATAAATAGCCCTTAGTTGTCTTAAAAATGGCTGATGGGGGCTACCTTTTATTCTATGTCAGGCAACAATTTTATAACTGTCTTTTATGAAAATATCGAGAATATTAATTTTAGGGGTAGTGGGATGATACAAGTTAAAAGTGTTTGAGTGAGCCATATGAGCGCCCGTTTTCTGTGAGGGTCGATGAGAGAAAACGTGGGAATCGATTGTTTTGATTAGATGCTGATAGATGGCAGCAGTAATGATCACGAATACTGGCTGTGTTTATCCCAAGATGTCAACCTCCATTATGGACTAATAACCAGCTGCACAAGGTCAGTTATCGAACATGAAGACCGATCTCCTGCAACACGAGGTGTGGCGGGTGTTGGTGAGTGTGATAAGAGTGTAGGTGTGAGTGTTGCGGCGGGTGTTGCTTGTGGTGTTTGTTTATCTTTGTGGGTTTTTGTTAGTCGGGGCTGTGACAAGGTAGCGGCTCCCTGATGCTCGCTCGGCCCGTCGGTCCACTCCACCTCACGTTATAATTCACATTTACAGAATTTATTGCATATATTCTCTTATCTCGGACACAAAGGCAAGCCCGTAACAATGAATTGAGTTTATATAACGGAACTAGTGATAAATGTTAAAGTAAAGCGTTGTTAGAGACGCTTAGCTGTGCTTTGTATGTTCTGTGGAGTGACGGACGGAGCTATCAGGACGTACAGTATGTGTAATATAAATAATTCTTCACTATGACTCCTTGGCCAGCTGGGAAGTAGAGTGAGTTACACCTTATGTTCTTACACACGTATTTGTGATGTTAACCTTTGTTGTGTTTAATATATTCAGTTGCAAGTGTAGACTTGTCATCCTATATCTTCGTTGTTGGGATGGATATTGATATATTAACTTAGCTCTGTGTAAGAGGTGGTATTGCTGAATTACATCATTAATTTTAAATGACCAGGACAAGTAGTGCTCAACCACTGGTTGGTATTTAAGAACCACTTATGTGAATCACAGCATGGGAATCATTGTACAGTAGCTACTTTATACCTACCCAGTAAACCTTTACCAATACTTGTGAATCCGAATCTATGATGAAACATTCCATAGCATTAATTGAGAATTTTGAGTGTTCTGTAGTATTTGGTGTATTGATGTATTGCATAGAATAGAAATCTATACCGTACATCCTGTATTAGTACTGTATGGTATAGAGGTTCTGAAAACTATTTGATAAGGTACACAGACTGGGAAAGCCATATTAAACATGATACATATTATTAGGATGCATAATCTTTATTGTATAAGTGCAATAATTTGGGACCACAAGACTTCCATAAAATAGTTGGTGCTACTATAGCGTGGAGTCTACAAATATATCTTTAGTCTGACCTGACCTAACCAAAGGTAACTTAACCTCAATATTTTATAGACCGCATGCTATAGTAGCACCAAATGGTTAACATCAAGAACATGCCCGAGGAAGGCATGTAATTAACCATAGTACTTGTCAGTACAGTAGTTGAACACCAACTTTCTTCATTATTCTCTAACGTTCTCAATGTTAAGGCAACAAATAAGCAACTTGCTCCTCCAACTCATTAAAGACATGTTGACTCATCACTCTCCCCACACAGTCACTGAGTCAGTTTGCCTGATTTGTCCAAATGTATTTACTCTCTTGTAATATACTGTGTTATATTCTTATATTTTGTATTTAGAATGCTCAGATCTTCCATAAAGTAGATTTTGGGTTAAAAATCTATTTTAGCTTTTGCATAGAGATAAAAATTGGTGATTTTTAACCGTGTTTAGATATTTTATAGTGGAGGGGGAAAATAATTGATGCATTGAGAAATACAGTACAGTATAAGAAGAAATATTATAGCAATAATAAGGATAAAAGAGGTATTGTTGAGCCAACATTATCACATGAGTGTGATGCATGAACTGGGGTTTGAAATGGAAGTAAAAAGACAAATGATGAGTTTAAGAACAATGTTTTAGGTGTTACAGTAATGACAATTTGTAAATAAAGAGGAATTGTGAGAGTGGACAATAAAAGTTTGTAACAAAGAACAGACTGAATGGCAAGTAAACTGACGAGTGGTAGAAATGATATGGAAATGCTGGACAGAACAGATACAGTACCTGTACTGATTTCTTTAGAGATGCGTGGTTAGAGATACAGGGGAAGGTTAAAGAAATGGAAGGACATTAGGAGTGAAGGGTTGGATATACTGCACAACCATAAGGAATGTGCTTGAATATGAATATCCAAGGGGGGGGGGGGGTATAGCAGTAAGTGATTTTTAGAGATAGGCATGCAGATTATGGGAGGTGCTGTGTTTTGTGAAGTAACACGGGTAAACCAGATAGATGTTTGTTGCCTTGTGGAATAGGAATGCCATAGCAGAACATGTCCTTTACAGCACAGTAAGGATGAGTGAATGTCAATAGATGATAGAGAAGTCTGTATTTGTTCTTGACTTCAACTGCATTAAGGAGGGGAATGGCAAAATAAAAGACCCATTTTACCTTTTTTTTATATAGAAGGATAAGGGGTGCAAGACAAAATTATTTTTTTGATAAAGATTGGTAGGAAAATATTTATTAGTTGATGAACAGACAAGGAAATTAGATGGACTTTTTGTTAAAACATAAGGAAATAAACAATGATTAATGAAATAGGTTCATGTAATGTATGGAACAGCATAACTTGCAATAGTGAAGTTAGAGGCAGCATAACTTTGGGTTGAAAGTGATAATGGAGTCACTATATTACTATATACATCCAGTCAGTCAGTTGCTGTGTGGTAGACCGAGAGTTCCATCTCTCATGATTTTTAAAATGTTGCTTGGATAGTATACTGTACTGACCTTGTTATGTGCTTAAAGACCTTCATTGTTGAAGTGCAATAATAACATTACAGTATATCAACAACAAATGCTGTGTGTATCCATGAAGAAATGGAAATTGAGTCGCCCATGGAAACTACTTTTACTTTTATCCTCTTTGCCACTGATCGGCACATTGGCCGCTTGGGCAGTCAGTCACTTCTGTTAAGCACTGTTGACAAGTACTGGGCATGCACTGGCTCTTGAATGTATCTGAATCTGCTCCAGTGTTAAGAACATAAGAATGGAGGAAACTGCAGCGGGCCTATTGGCCCATACTGGGCAGTCCCATTTACACCCAACCCCTATTGCTCATATAAGCATCCAACCTATGTTTGAAGCTATCCAGTGTATTCGAGTTAATGATGATATTTGGTAACTTGTTCCATTCATCCACTACTCTGTTTCCTCAAGTCTGGTCTTGAAAGAGCTCACACTCGGTGCTGTCACAACACACACTGGCAGATTGTTCCAAGGGTTCACCATTCTCACTACAGTACGTACTGTAGTTGTTATAAGTTCAATTTTTTTATTTTTCTCAAAGCATGTTTTATCTATCCAGTAGCTATGTACAATACAGTGTTGTAAAAATGATAGGACTGAATATGTTCAAACTACAGTAATTAGTTAAAACTAGTAACAGAATTATTACAGTATGTACTGTACAGTACAGTATACTGTAGGGCAATCCAGAGTCCTCTACAATAAATACCAATCTACTGTGCTCCTGTTCATACCTTTGTACTTTAATATTGTACTTCAGTTTTCATCCTGTTGTGCTTGTTTAAGCAAATTTCATCCATTCCATACTTATTTTGTTACGGTAATCAAGTAAAAGAGAAATGTTTCAGGTGTATGCATGTCAAATGATTAAAAATCTTAACAAAATCATTAAACTCCTGTACTACAGACTAAGAATAGTCAGCACCTGAAGTGTTTGGGGAGTCCTAACATATTATTATTATTTTTTAAATCAGTAGAGGTGCAGGTGAATATACACAGGCATGTATTTAAGTATAAGTACATAAACAAGTACATGTACTGTACAGTACAGTACAGATAAAGAGATTTAAAAATTATTACAATACACAAGATAAATGTATGTTATCTCTTCATCGTGTACAAACAGAAAATAAAGGCATAAGGACTGAGGTATCAGAGATGTATAGGAGAATATATTTATGGGATTTGTAGGTTTGTAAGCGGTGTTATAAAAGGCAACACCCTGTACTACTGTAATACTAATAATAGCTGGTCTTTTGTTTCTTTTCTTCGGTGTTCACAAGAGAGGATACGATTAACCTTCCTTTGTTTGAGGACAGACGGTTCGACACAGCACTGACCCACATTGTGTTCACAGAAGAGGGTATAAGAAATAAACTGTCAAAGCTAAAGGTTCACAAGAGTCCCGGCCCTGACATGGTGCATCCCAGAGTGCTAAGAGAGTTGTGCAATGAGCTTGCCGAGCCCCTGAAGATCCTGTTCTGTAAATGCTGGGATGAACAAAAGGTCCCCAGTGATTGAAAAATGGCTTATGTGAGTCCTATCTTCAAGAAGGGTGATCGTCACTCCACGAACAACTAAAGACTGGTGAGCCTGACCAGCATAGTATGTAAAGTACTTAAGAGCATTATAAGAGATGCCATGATGGAACATCTACTACGAAACAACCTCGTAAAGGATTGCCAACACGATTTTTTGCCGGGGCGCTCCTGCTTAACACAATTACTCAAGGTACTGGATATTTGAACCCATATTCTGGAACATGGTGGTAATATCAACAAAATATACCTAGATTTTGCCAAGGCTTTCAACAGCATACCCTGTGAAAGGCTGAAAATTAAACTGGAAGGGTACGGGGTTTGGGGAAATGTCCTAACGTGGGTAGAAGACTTTCTACATGACTGCAAGCAGTGTGTGGTGATTAATGGCACGAAATCATCATGTGTACCCGTCACAAGCGGGGTACCGCAGGGCAGTGTATTGG